AGATTAGTTTTGTGTTTATTCAAGCTCTCGTTTGATTGTAACCTTACAATATTACAATGGAAATTAATTATTGGATAGGTATGTTTGTCTTGTATTATTTAATTTGTGTATATAAATTTTAGGTTATGAGCTGTAATTTGGTCAGAAAGAAGATGAGAGATAAATAGCAGTGCTCAGGTGTTGTAAATACAACCTCTTCTCCATCTCTATCCTTCCACCCAACTCATCCTCTTATCTATAAAAGTCAGCCTCTAATTATCTTTTAATTTCCCCCAAAAACCCAAGTAATTTCTATTTCTCTATTTTCTTGAAGAATATTCCCGTTTCTCCCACAAAGCAATAACTCTAAATATTATTGCCTACTTTTTTTTTCCAAGAAACTCCTTTATTTAAAAGCAACTCTCTTATCTTGTCTTTTTATCATCAAATGCATATAGATACACTTCACACACGCTTATATGATTGTATACGCGCTTACATTTATGTATATATAAATTCTTGTATGTATAAATACACACACTAGCTTGGATTGTTTACTTAATATCTCAGCTTCTTGTGGCTACTGTCTCACTTTAGGGTTTTGCTTTCTTGTTGGGTCTCTTTGTTTCTTCTTCTGTTTCACTTTAACACTAAAAAGGAGTTGTAATTGTATAAAAATGGAGTCTGGAAAGATCTTTGGAACCGAAGAGGATTCTCCCAGCTGCGAATCTGGGTGGACAATGTATTTAGCCTCGCATTCTCATAACCCCGATGACGACTGTTACTATGATGATGGTGATGATGAAGATAGCGATGGTGGTGATTCAATGGACTCTGATGCATCTTCTGGTCCCATGGAAGCCACATCAAATCTCAAACTTCCTCAAGGGGTTGAGGAGCAAAATTCTATAAAGAAAAAGAAGAAGAGTAATGAAGAGATTGTTTCGGTGGAGACTAGGGTTCACAACAACTTTCATCATGATGACGATGATAATGAGGATGATTATGATCATGATGATGGTAATGATAGCTACAGTGCAGTTCATAGTTACGTTGGTGCAGTTAGACAAGGGTTTGTTTGAATTTATTGACTTTATGTTTATGTTATCTTATTTATGCTCAATGTTTATTTTTTCACATAATCAAATTCTCTGTCCTTTGTTTAAGTATTTTTCTGCCTAGTGATTTGCTAATTAACTACTATTAGTACCCTATTTAGTTGATACTCTATACTCCAGAGAGAGGTGTTGACAATTTACAACGAAACCATAGTACTAACACAGTGATGAAGGTGAGATGATAGTAACTATATATGGTGATAATGATGATGATAGCTTGGGTTGAGATGTACATCAATGCATTCCATTATGAGGTTCTTTATGAGCACCATAGTACCCCGTTGTGAAATGCATATATGCCATCTTACTATATATTTGTCTCTAGTCTCTATATGTACTAATTTTTATACTAGCTAGTACTCATTAATATATATATATACACATAACAGTTATGATAACAAAATCTTACCTCTCAAATGTTGTTAATCACAAAACTGACACAAGTATACTTAAGATCGTAATTAGCTAAGTATTTTACCATGTTCGGTTTACTACATCATTACAGGCATTCGTGAGGAAATTTAACAAGTTATAAACATAAATGACGATCCATAAACTATATCATATACATTTATAAACAAAAAAATTATAGAACTAACTTACATACAACTAAAGTTCAACCGATCATTCACAGTGAATTACAATCGATAAACAAGTTATTTAAATTTAAGACGAAATCATTTTAAAACATTAGAATATAACTGAATTAGATTTTTATATTGTGATTTTATATACCAAACCAAATGTATATATTAATTTGTTTTACATACTATCATAGTTGAACGAGCTCCAAGATCTCCACAGGTACAAGCATTATGATCATTAGAATAATATAAAAAGTAACGTTGCAAAGATTTGGTTCGTGGCTATAGACACATACACACACACGTGAACACAGTGTGAGTTGTATACAATTGAGAGATTGAGACATAAAACGAGAACCCATCATCTTTGGTTGTATCTTTGGTAGAGACAGGGAAACATGTTTTGTGACCATAGGGGACATATCTTCTGCACGTGTATGTCTCTGCAACTCTTTTTTATTTTTGTTGTTGTCATTTTACCCCTAATTTCTTTTGACATTTGTTTGTTCACATGCACCCTCCTGCTGTAACTACACAACTATAAATTGATAGTTTGATTCTTACGTCAAATCAAAACTTTCCAAGGTTTGTTTCCCCGTTTTATTCGATTTAGTTAGGATCCGATCCGTGGAATGTTTATGAAAAGTATATGGGTTCCACATAAAAAGAGGTTATAATTCAATTTTAAAAGTGTTAAAACTGAAAGTTTCACTGACTCGATACACGTTTAAAAGAAGTCTTTACTATATAGATATAGTTTTTGAAACAAACGATTATAGGTAATGGACTTAAGATATGTTACCTCTAGGTAAAAGCTAGCCTTCTAAAGCCTATATCATCATCATCACATGGCTGATGGTTCACACACGCATTACATGATAATAATAAACTATTAAGAAAATGTTTTGACTCAATCCAAACATCGAATATACACATTGGACAAAATTCAGAAGACAAAACTCACATGTGGAGGATTTACAAAAACCCAATCATGAGTACTTCCTGTACTTCTCTGGGCATTCCTTTGCTCACACAGTGAATCATCTGTAGGCAACTCATAATTCATAAAGACAAACAGCTTATGTGTTCCTCGTTCTGAACCAGAGCCATTTGCCTATGGACCATGGTGCCAATGTTTCAGAATTACCCCTTATTGTAATCCCATCAGGAATTGTCCCACTTGACGAGTTTCAGTGGTAATTGGAAAAAATAAAAAGATCTTAATAAATGTTACCATTTTTGTTTGACAACCCCACATTTTATTTATAGATATCAGGATATTATATGGTTTTTCCTATTTCTTCTAGCTACATTTACTAACATATCAACATCATAAGAGCATTTCCATTGGTATAAAACCAATAAAATTACTAAAAATTATAATAATATTATAGTTAATTGGTTATGTTCTATTTTATTTAAACTAGTAAAATACTAATTTCACCTTATTGGGAGTGATCTAACGTCTTTAAAAATAGTTTCTTAAACATTTTTCACTATAAAAGATAATTAAAATGAAAAGTAAGAGAGAGAATGTAGAAAAATAGAAGAAAATTGTTTAATAAAGAAACTTTCAAAAAAGTTGAGAAACTCCATTGTCCTTTTTCACATTGATCTAATTTCTTTACCCATTAAATTTTAACTAGATTTTGACCCGCGCAACCGCGCGGATGTTTGTTTTCGTTTATAGTTAGTTATATAAACATTTTGTTTTCACTTGTAAATTGGTATATATCATAGTAATCACATATTTACGATATGTATAATAAATGTTTTTCAAACATATATAATAATACTATATAATACGTGTTTAATTAAATAGATTATTTCAAATTTTCTATATTATACATGTTTTTCAAACATGTGTTTGTTTCTTCTTCTATATTTTATTGTTTGTTAGATTAGTATTTCGTTTTTGGATAAATTAATATAAATATAGCTTAATTAAATATTAGTATACTTTAACTTTCAAAGATAAAATAAACTTCGAAGAATTTTTTTGCTAAAAACTAAAATTATAGCTTCATAAATTAATATTATAAAGAATTTTATTAAAAAGATTTTTTTTAACAATTTATTTTCTTAAAACAATATAATTTTAAAAATCTACATCGAAATAAATTTATCTAGTATATATAGCCTGTAAACTTTGTTAGGGTATATAAATATTCCATATTACGAATATGTGATTTTTGTTAATATATTGTGGATGCATTTAACTATTATTGAGATATTTCCTTATAAATAATAGAAGATTCCTAAACTTATATCTTTTGACATATTTTGCATGACTAAGTCGGAAGGTGTGGCATAATTTATCAAAACGAAATTGTTAAGCGTATATTTGTTACTATAGATATGATTTTTCATAAGATATAATAATGATAAGATTATTAGAGAGTTAAGGTAACATGACTTTCTAGTAATAGTCCATTTTAAAAAAAAACACACATGAAGTCAAGTCATGACTTCTGTTTTAATATATAAGATTGTATAACTTAACTATTTTAAAATACTATAATAATATTGAGAGACTCATTAGTCATGTAAATACTCATTGCTAATGATGGTGATACATGTTTTCTATGATTTTTTCAGTAAGGTACTGATGTAACTCATCTATTGGTTGCTTCCAGTCACTCATGAATGTTACCTGATTGTACCTCAGCTTCTTTATTTGCTGAACGGCCATGAGCAAGAGGAGTGCTTCTACTTCTATTGGAGCGTTGGTTGAATGAATCGAAGAGAATCCTTTGGATCTTTTGGATGCCTTCTTTACTGAACAAAAATAAAAAGAGCATAAGCTTTCAATCTTAAATGATGTTGTTCTCTTTTTCTTCTTTTTTTTTGACATCAAATGATGTTGTTCTCGTTGAACGTGATTAGGAACACATAGGAATGAGCTCGTTTTAGCGGAGAGGTTCCATGATCTACAAGAAGATGCCTTCCACAAAGACTACAAAGTCCTTGTCCAGAAGGGTGAATAGTTCACTGATAGTTACTAAGATGTTAACTAGTTTTTGTTTCTATTTTTTTTTACTATGAGCTGAGTAGTCTAGCCATGGCTGCTAAAACTCGACCCTACTTGCATTTACTAGCCTTTAAATACTAATTTGTGTTTCTCATTTAAACAAATTACATGCCTCCGAGATCCTCTCCTTAATGAAGTTGCACAAGTAATAGAGTAATTGGTTTGTTTGATCCAATTAGAAAAAAGAATATAGAATTCCATTACACACAGGAATCACACATTTAATAAACACTCATTCAATAAAAGCCGTAGGGATGGTTGTTTCCACAATCTTTTGTTTTCCTCCTCTTAAGCATTCTTGTTTTGCCAAGGCTTGAGAACACCAACAACGATCACTGCAACAACAATGAGAAGGATGATGATTGCGATACACATCCATTTTCTTGAGCTCTTCTGTAAGCTCTTTGCTCTTTGAAGTGCAGTGTTTCCCGATTGCACGTGATCTACCGCGTTTGACACCTAACACACAAACTCATCATTATCAGTTTACCATTACACCACTGCTCTTTCATGTTTATAAGAGTGTGTACTCAAACTTACCTGAGATTCTATGTTGTCAAGCATTTCTCCTTGTGCATCAACCAAAACTGCCATGTCCATGAAAATCTGCAACAAAGGGGAACCTTGTTAAATAGTTTTTGACTAATAGATTTGCATCAAAACTCAGCTCAGAGCTGTTTCATTTCGTGTAAGAGATTAATGAAATCAAACATACTTGTTGTAAGTCAAGAAGTTTCTTTTCCAAGTCTCTGACAGCATCATGACGTTCTTGGATCTCCGCCAAGGTGTCCATTACCTGTGAGTGGTCGAAGTCTTAGATTGTTTTTTTTACATACATTTTAACACACAAATGTCCAAAAGATATACCTGTCCTCGTCCTTGCTCCTGAATAGCTTTCTGGAAGATCTGTTCGCTGTTTCCAGTTTCAATCAACTCATCAATTGTCTGGAAACCAAGAAACGTGCAAACGAGTGAGTTTTTGTTCAAACTTCTGAAGACCATAATAAACACTCAAGAGTCTAGTTTACTTACATCTTCATCCGCTCGCTGTCCAGTTACTAATGCAAAGGAAAACACACACAAAAACAATAAGAAAGAGAAGTAAAAAGGGATAAGTAAAGCAACGTCATAACATCAAGAAAGAACATACCTGTAAAAATACGCCTGTCAACAACCTCGCGATACTCTTGTTGGATGTTCTCTCTTAGAACCTAGAACAAGTCAGACAATATTAATTTGAGGAAATAACAGTTTCCATATATATTTCTTGAAATGTTATTTATTTCTTCAAAACTCACCTGAAACTCAGCCATCTTGTCTTTAAACTTCTTCTTTAAAGAACTGTTCCACAGGACGAAAGATCATAAAGGTCATATCAACATTAAAAACTAATGACTTGTCTAACAGCAGAATGAGAATACTCACAGAGTGGTCGCTGTTCTTGATCGATCCACACCAGATCCTTTCCCACACCCAGGTTTTTGTCTATTTGCCAAGTTCTACAACATTTGAATGAACATTATCAATAGAAAAGAAACGAATAAAATCAACATCTGCATCTGAATGACTATACCTCTCTGTCTAGCTCCTCGAGTTTCCCCTTGATGAAACGGGCAATACTTCCAACTTCATCAACGTCCTTTTCCATTTTCTTCTTTATTGCTGTCTCATTACATATGGAGTCAACACACACAAAACATCAGACTACATACATGAATGGTGTACTCATCTAATAATTATTTTTTTCCTGGCTTTGTAACAGTTGTGGAAGAACATGATTGAAACAAAAGAAATCAAACTTACCCTTCATGGCGGGAGCTTTAGTCACAGCCTTGGACTCCTCATGGGAAGCCTATATGCAACAGAACTGTAAATCTTGAAAGAGGAAAGCCAACAACACTGATACTATATATATATAGAACATTACATGAAGATAATGGTGTATGGTAAGAAAAAAGAAAAAAAAAAGAGTAATTGGTTTATTATATACCTGAAGTTTCTTAAGAAGCTTATCAAGCTTTTCATATTGTTTGTCAATGTCTTGAACCTAAGAAGACAAAAGGAAGGAAACGCTTAGGCAGAGCAATTCATAGCACTTTTTCTTGAGTTGGTTACTATTACCTTTTTGAAGAACTCTTCTAAACCTTGATCACCTCCTTGTTCCCCTAGCTCAACATCACCTTGTCTTGAAGATTCACCTCGTGGTAGCTCAAAAGAACCCTTATAAGAAAAAGAATACAAAAATCCATTAAAAAGCTAAACACAATAATCGAATTAGCATATAAACCCCTCACATGAGCAAAAAAAAAATCAGAAAAGGCTAACACTTTAAATCAAATAATCAGATAGGAACATTAACATTATAGTTTTATTACATGGATCAATTACAATTGCAGAACATAAAAACAAAGTGTCCTAATTTTTGAAAAATCAGCATTCACATTAGATTAATAACTCCCAATTTCAAACTCAACAAAAACCCTAAAGTGTGGGAAGTTCTCACCTTAAGAAGATCGTTCATCGTATTGGTTTCGGTTTACACCAAAGAACGAGGAATAACACGACTTCGATTTTGAGTCTGCAACGCCGGGAAAGAATCGATCTTCGAGAGACAAGGGAGAGACTTATTAGTGAGACAAAGATGGAGAGAGGAGAGACGGATCTGGCTCAATGTGAGGAGATTAGTAGTAATAATAATACTAGTAATTTAGGGATTTTAATTTCCCTTTTTCCAAATTGATCGGTTTAAAGTATACATAACCGGAATTAACCGGGGATTGAATACATTTTTCAAGCAGTTTTTTTAAAAAAAAAATTTGTAAACGGGAACTATGACTTTAACCGGTTCGGTTTGGTATGAATATAGACGGATGTTTCCGACATGCCGTCCATGTCCAGCTAAAGACAACTCTTATAGGTGACTTGCCTTAAAATAATATTGTAAGAAAAAAAAGATATTCGTTGCTGTTAATTTAATGTAAGATTTAAGTTATAATCAGTTGCTGTCTTTTTCTAATTAATTATTCGTGGTCAATTACATATTTACATCCTATCATATACTTCCTCCGTTTTATATTAAGTGTCATTGTAGAGAATTTTTTGTGTTACAAAATAAGTATCGTTTTCGGTTTTCAATGTAAAATTTATTAATTTTATTATGTAATTTGTTTTTCTATTGGTTAAAATATGGTTAGGTGTATGGGTAATTGTGTTTTTATATAGGAAATATGTAAAATTAATTGTTTCTTTAATCCGTGTGCATAGCTGTAGAGTGACACTTATATTGAAACAGAGGGAGTAAATTGTACAGATTGACCAAAAAATAATAATAGTAAATAAATTATACAGCATGCTTCTTCCTTTTTTCCCGATCTCGTACCAAAGTCAATATATAAATTAACTAATAGGAGTATAGGATAGTGTGTATAGTATTTTCTGGCTTTAATATTGGCATGATTAACGGATAACTGATTACATGGTACTTATTTTCTAGGTAAAGATGTTCAGATTCGATCACTATAAAGGCTTCGGAGTTCTCTTTTAAAAGTGTGACTGCATGCATTTTGTGCATACAAGTATTACTGGGTTTTCAACTACAAAATGTAGGAAGAGTGGAAAGTAAAATTTGAAGTAGTTATTGGTAAAAAATTGATTTTGATGTTTGGACTATATATATATGTTTTAAGACATTGTTTTGATTTTGATTTTCATAGTTGAATTAGAAATGCTTTGAGAAGAAGAAAAGTTAACAGGAACGTACAACAAAGACATGATAGGTTGGAGGAAAAGAAAGAGAAAGAAGAAGAATTTGCATGCATAAGCTAAATGAGTCAATTATGTGAAACTGAAACAAAGGGTAACTTTTAACTTTTTATTATTCTGTTCCTCTCACTAGTTTGAAGCATACAGCTGATGAAAGTTAAGTTTATATTCATATGGACCATTTATATCCAATTTTTTTTTAATATAATATATACCTTAAATTTTCTTTTTCACTATAGCACATAAATAATACAAGTAAATATATATGAATATAAAGGAAATTTATTTTTCAATATATTTGTCCAAATTTACATAAAATGAAAGAAAGATCTATACATTTTTTAAATATAGACTTATATATTTTATTGGAAACAACATATATCAAACTATACATAAATATATTGATCAACCTAAAGAAACTAAACAAAATTATTCTTATTTCAGTCTCATTACAACCAAAAGTTGTGATTCATTTCAAAGATATATATAACAATATATAAACTTAAGAATCAATCAAAATCTGAACAATTAAATCAACAAATTATTATTGTTTATCTAATATATATATATATATATATATATATATATATTCATATATGTGCATGAATTTTTAAAATATCACAAGCTATGTTTATTAATTCATATATGGCTTTTTCTGTTTTTCAAAATGATATATCAAACTATACACAACTTTATAAAATATTTTAAAAATATAGGTGGATTTTTTTTGGACGACAAAAAATATAGGTGGATAAACTAAACTACCTACTAATAAGCCATTTAACCTAATTAAAATATAAAAAGTGTCGTCAATTTAAAAGAGTTAGATGCAACTGAACATACCAAAATGAATACATAAACTAATATTATACTTGAAATCACATATCTAATTAAGACGAGAAGATAAAAATATTTAATACAAATTTTATTTATTATAATACAAATTACAAAATTACTTAAAACTTATAAACAAACAAACAAATATTTATCAAAATTATAATTTACTAAATATTTATTATGATGTACATGAATACGGGAAAATCACTTAGTGATATTATAAAACTAACCCACAATTAATCCCCGCATGATTAGTTCAACTTTAATCCCATGCCAACTGCACGCGTTGGCCTAGTGCAATTCCTACTGGCTACTAATGGAGTAATGGTTGGTACAACATCTAGATAAGTACGACAAGCTAAAGCTATTTTCATGTTAACTCATAATTAAAACCTAAACTTTCACCATAATACAGTAGTTGGTACATCCCTATAGCTTTATGATTGATATAGCTTCTGCTCACACTGTCTGTAGTTCACATGATGAAACAACCAAAGTATTACATCGTATTTGACTTTCAATTGGTTTACCATTCCAACTTGTTTTTGTTTTTGTGTGTTTTTTTTTTTTTTCCAACTTGTTGGTTAGTAGCAAGGACGGTTCAACAAAGTTTTTAGTTGGAGGCACAATATAAAAGTTGAGAAAATGTCTCACTGAATTGGGGCACTTTTTCCCACTAAAACTAAGAACATTTATTCAAATTGAGTTGAGTACTCAAGGACAACTAGAAAACAGTAACGAGCACGCGACCCCGTTGTTTTATTTGATTTTAGAGGTGCATTCTACTCTCTAAGCAAAGATATATCATTTCCTAAAACGGACACCCAAAGATAATTTGGTCTTGTCTTGTCAGAGAATTACCAAACCAAGTATAGCTACAAGAGACGATGAGAAACATTAAAAGAAGTAGCATTTTCATTGGGTTGGGTCTTGAGTGACACAAAACCAACTTTTAGAAAAGCGAGATATGGTTCACTGATGATCTCAATTTGGCAGGAGGTACAGAGTCTTGGAACGGCACGGAGTTCTTTGAGGATGACAGAATCTTCTTTTCTCTCTGTGGGATAATAATACGACGCTAAGCATAGAGTTAGTTTCTTGAGATTTGGTGCATTCTCCAAAAAGTAACTAACTCGTTTCATCGCCCTCCCATTCCATGTAGTTGGCCTTTTCACCTCAACATACTCGAGAGATGTTAAGAAACATCCAGGTCTAGGTACATCATTGATTTCATCACCCTCATCCCCTGGATCTTTCTGCATGTGGAAACCAAAGTTCAGTATTTTGGTTTTCAGTAAGAAAGTAAAAGCTTCTGGTTCAGTAAAGAAAAATTCTAACCAAGACGAGAGATTTCAGATTCGGACAGGTCGCGAGTAGTATCAACAATTGTCTCCATTTAAGGACCGTAGCATACATGTAAGATAGGTTACGAAATACGGGTAGCGCTTGTTGCCATCTCAAGTACTTATAAAAGGTCTGCATGAAAAAAGAAAAACAACAATAGTGTAAGACCATGTTTAGCTCCAGTCTGTTAGCTGGGGTTATTAGCTTCGACCAAGAGACGTTTAATTTAAAAAAACTAAGAACCGTCTATTAAATAAGAAATATAAGAACCTCGACTAAGAGACCGGGGTTAATAATGCTATAATGAATTCAATGATGTATATATCTCATTCCCATTTCTATGTAATGAATTCATGTTTTGACCAAAAAAAAAAAAATATATATATATATATATATAGGTATAGATGAATAACGAATATGAGAGAGGTGATGTAAAAAAAAATTTTACCTTGAGAGTTTTCTCAGAGATGAACATATTCTTTGCAGTGGAGATCTGAAAGAGAAAATCACGGATCATGTTCCTCTTGGTTTGATCATTTTGAATCTTGAATTTAATGTCCACATCAAAAGTGACAAGAGACCCCAAATGATTCATAATGAAACTTTCAGTGGCGGCTTTCTGATTACGAATCCTGAGACACTCAAGCCTTGGAGCATCAACTGCAAAAGCTACATCATAATCAGAACTTGTGCCAGAAAGCGTGAAGCTCAAGAGAGACTTAGAGCACACACGTATAACTTTTGGATTCCCATAGTTTGATGATATCTTGTGAAGAGTCAAGCTTTGAAGAACCGGGCAGCCAGAGATGAGTTTCTCGAAAACCAAATCGTTAGCAAAAGAAAGTTTAGATAGTTTGATAACTTTGAGACGAGGCAAAGTAACAACATCATTGGTGGGATCAGGCAAAGTTACTGTAGAGAGCATTAAGGAGACCAAACTATCGCATGTGTAAACTGTTGAAGGCATCTTCACTTGAGGCAAAACCCATCTTGTGGTATCAACGTGGAGACATTGAACTCTCCTGTCAACAGCAGCGTTGATCCACCGTTCGAAATCAGCACCATGATCAGGGTCATTTTCCTTTGTCCAATTGTAAACTAACATGAAATTTTGAAAGCACGTATCGGTGTTGAAATGCAGAAAGCTATCAATAAAACTCACGAGAACGTTGTAGTCGTGACCAAATTCACAACTGTTCACATGGAAATTAGGGACGGATCTCCAAATGGTTCTCCAACTGGTTGATAGCAAACTGGTCTTAACAACATCCTTGCTCTGGAGATTAGAGAGAATCTGAAACAGCAAGGAATCTGGTAAACTTGTCAGCCTATCTACTCCACCTGGCGTAGATTGAACGTTTCTCACTCCCTCTTCATCCATATTGATACCTACCACCAACGAATAGAGGCTCTCTCTCTCAGGGATTTGAGTAGGGAAATCCCCATATATATATATATATATATCTATATATATATATATATATCCTCATGGGCCCATGAGCATAATGGAGATTATTGATTGAGATTTATCTCCTTATTTATTCTTAAATCACTAAATTTTACAAATCATATTGTAAC